GTGTCTTACAATGAGGCGATTGATGTGCACTTGCTGGGGTAAGAGTCCTAAGGCTGCAGCCACACCTTGGCGGAATATCCGAAGCAAAGTTATGTTCAGCTTGTTTACATCCATTTGCAGTGTCTGGAAAATAAAGACAAAAAGAAATTTAAATTATAGTAAGTCTTTGGTTTAGGACATTCGGTCCCTGACTTGTGACTGACCACAACAATTTCTGTGACTCTGAGAAGCTCAATTTCATAGTGCTTTATTGCATTTTTGATGGAAATAAAATTATAGGGAGATTTTATGTGAAATTGTAAATGGTGTGTGAGTTAAAAAGATGGTATAGTATATAATAACTCAATTTGTCTAGTTATAATACAAAATACAAATGAATGGCCAATTCATATGGAATTTTCTTGAAATGTGCCTTGATTTTTCTTGTTTTAGTTCGGAGCCCGATGACAGAATGGAATCTGTGGCAAAGTGTATTTCAGTTATCCAAGCTGAAGGACATCTTTAATTTGTGACACACAGTCATGGAGAGGAAGTTGCTGTGTAATTCCCATAAGCCCAACTTGGCATTTTGTTTAGAGAGTGAACTGCTGCCAGTGCAAGGCAAAAGAATGAGGTACAGTAATGAATTTTCAAACTCTGGTAAAGAAGCCAGTGGTACTAATGATTAGGTCTAAGGTAAACCATCCCTATTCAATTGTTTGGGCAAACACTTTTAATTTACAGGTTTACTTTGAAAACAATCTAAATATTAAAAAAATTCCTAAAATACAAATAAAATGATCATATTGGTAATATAGCCTTAATTTAAACCAGGAGTGCTATTACTACACTAAGCCATGTTTGCTATAATTTTCAGAAATGCGTCATCATCATTTGATATAGATACTTGCAAAATAGGGAAACCAAATCTTTAAGCATTTCTTATATTCTTATAATGCTTAATTCACTAATTTGACCATGGTAGGTTATCAATAACTGTTGGATGACTAAAATATCACCTGTTTTATAAAGCAAGGCACACTTTTCTGATAAAGAGATTGGCTTACAAGTATAATTGGATATATAGAGTAGGAAGTCAGGAAGTGTAATACCTCCAGCTTTATTTATTTTGCTCAGGATTGCTTTAGGTATTTGGGGTCTTTTGTTGTTCCATATGAATGTTAGGATTACTTTTTCTATTTCTGTTAAGAATGTCATTGGTATTTTGATGGTCATCACATTGAATCTGTGTATGGCTTTGGGTAGTATGGACAGTTTTACTACATTGAGTCTTCCAAAACGTGAACGAGGAATGTCTTTCCATCTTTTGTTGTCTTCTTTAATTTCTTTCAGTAGTGATTTGTAGTTCTTGTTGCACAGACCTTTCGCCTCCTTGGTTAGATTTGTTCCTAGATATTTTTTTTTTGTGGACTATTGTAAATGGGCTTGCTTTCTTGATCTCTTTTTCTTCTAGTTTGTTAGAGTATAAAAGCACTACTGATTTTTGTATATTGATTTTGTATCCTGCAACCTTACTGAATTTGTTTATCAGCTCTAAGAGTTTTTTGGTAGAGTCTCTTGGATTTTCTATATATAGAATCATGTCATCTGTGAACAGGGACAATTTGATTTCATCTTTACCTATTTGGATGCCCTTTATTTCTTTCTCTTGTCAAATTGCTCTGGCATTACACTTCCTGACTTCAAGCTACATTACAAATCTACAGTAACAAAACCAGCATGGTACTGGCACAAAAACAGACATGTGGACCCACAGAATACAATAGAGAACCAAGAAATCAACCCACATATTTACACTCAACTGACCTTCGACAAGGGCACCAAGAACATACATGGGGGGAAAGACTGCCTCTTCAATAAATGGTGCTGGGAAAACTAGAAATCCATATGTAGAAGAATGAAACTTGATCTGTTCCTCTCAACATATACCAAAATCAACTCAAAATGGATTAAAGAATTAAACATAAGACCTGAAACTTTAAATCCACTAGAAGAAAACGTAGGGGAAACACTCCAGGATTTAGGACTGGGCAAAGACTTTATGAATAACACCCCAAAAGCACAGGCAACAAATGCAAAAATAAATAAATAGGATTATATCAAACTAAAAAGCTTCTATACTGCAAAGGAAATAATCAGCAGTGTGAAAAGACAACCTACAAAATGGGAGAAAATATTTGCAAACTATGCATCTGACAAGGGATTAATATCCAGAATATATGAAGAACTCAAACAACTTTATAGCAAAACCCCCCCAGATAATCTGGTGAGGATGTGGAGAAAGAGGAACCCTTCTGCACTGTTGGTGGGGCTGTAAATTAGTACAGCCATAATTGAAAACAGTATGGAGTTTCCTCAAACATCTACAGATAGAACTACCAGCAATCCCTCTACTGGGGATATATCCAGAGGATTGGAAATCATCATGTTGAAGGGATACCTGCACTCCCATGTTTATTGCAGATCTATTTACAATAGCTAGGCAATGGAACCAACGTACATGTCCATCAATGGATGACTGGATAAGGAAATCGTGGTATATATACAAAATGGAATACTACTCAGCCATAAAGAAGAATGAAATTCTACCATTTGCAACAAAATGGATGAGTCTGGAGAAAATTATCCTAAGTAAAATAATCTAGCTACAGAGAGAGAAAAACTGCATGTTCTCACTCATAACCAGGAGCTGAATCCATAAATAAACAAATAAACAATAAAGAGAGACAGAGAGAGAAAAAGAAAGAAACAACAATCACAGTAATATATTGAACTTTTAGAAAGAGAGAAAAGAACCGACTAGTAGAGGTGGAAAAGGGGAGGGGAAGTGGAAAGGGAAAGAGGAATTGGATAACAGACACAAAGAATGGTTTTGCACTGTTATGATGAATAAGCTAACTATCCTGATCTAACCATCACACATCATACAAAATTATTGAAAATAAATGTTGCACACTCTTCCCTGCACAAATAATATAGAGTAGGAACTCTTAGAGGGCCTTCTTTGAGCTTTAAAAGGAGAATGATACTGCTTTGAAAATTCACAGCCTTGTTAGGAAATAATACATCCTCTATACATACAGTTGACAAAAAATAAGTGGCAGGAAACCGGAGTAAATGCTCAATGCTACAAGAATCAGAGGGAGTTTGGTAGGTCAAAAGAGGCGTAATAGTTCCCAGTCAAGATGGTGGGCCTAGCTAAAGCTCCAGACTGCATTTCCACCTTAGGGTCTTTTAATGCTTGCAGGATTCCTAGAGCTTGGTCATGGTAAGCAGCTGGAACTGGAATCCTTGCAAAAATTAAGATCCAGAAAATAGCAGAACCATTGAAAAGCTCTACCTAACAGCCCAATAATAGGTAACAACTTGCTTCTGGGGAGAGAAAAAGCAGAATTATGTTGGGGCTTGGTAGAAAAACTATAACACCATCAGCAACACTTTAAAATTTTTTATATATTTATTTTTATTTTACGTCAATTAATTAACTAATAACTTAAAGTAACAGAAATCTATTGTCTCACAGTTCTAGGGCCTAGAAGTTTGGATCAAGGTGTCAGCAGGACCATGCTTCCTTTTTAATCTGTAGGGGAGTGTCCTTTGTTGCACCCTCCCTCTAGTTTCTGGTGTTTACCAGCAGTCCTTGATATTCCTTGGCTTGTCAATGTATCGCTCCAGTCTTTGCCTCTGTCATCACAAGGCTTTCTTCTCTGTGTGTGTCTTTACATCGTCTTCCCTCTGTGAGTATCTATGTCCAAATTTTCTCTTTTTATAAGTACATCAGTCATATGAGATTAGGAGCACACCCTACTCCAGTATGACCTCATCTTACTTAACTAATTATACCTGCAACAACCCTAGTAAGTTCACATTCTTAGGTACTGGGAAGTTAGAACTTTTAACATATGAATGGGAGCCCAAGTCACAATTCAACCCATAACAAGAAGCAGGTCAGAATTCTTTTTATGTATTTATTGATTTATTTTTAATTTATTTTTTTGTTTTGTTTTTTATTTTATTTATTTTTTTATCTTAACTTCTCAATATACATTGTAGTTGATTTTCATGACCCTTTACCCATCGAAGCAAGTCAGAACTCTGAAGAAAGAAATTGCCAACTCATATCCAGAGAATTGTCCAAGAACCTTGATAATTTCGCATGTTCTCTGTTTTCTTTCAGGCTCTGAGTCAATGCAAATTGGAGGTTCACCTGGGTCTCTGGGTATTCATCTCTGGTTGGAGAGCTATTTGGGAGGCTGGGACTATCACGAGCATAGTTCTATTCCAGAAGTGGCTTAGCGTACAGAGCATATCATGGGTAAAGGTAGTGATGATGTTTGGTTGAGACGAAAAGAGAGGTAGATGAATCCAGAAACGAGCTGAAAAGGACCCTTCCCAGCATGTCACTGAAAACAGTTCCTACAGGACCTGAGGAAAGTGACTTCTTTCCCAATAAAGTGTGACCCTCTCTTTCCAGAGAGTAATATTTATTTTATTAAATAAAAATCAACTAATGGTACCCAATTGTTTACTCTATTATTCTCTGCGCTTTTCTATAGACTAAAAAATGTTTCCAGTGTATAACACATAATTTAATGCAGAAGGTAAGACTTGAGCTCAATGTTGAAGGACGTGTAGGATTTGGAAATGCACTGATGAGGAAAAATAGCATTATACTTTTATGCATGATTTATGTATCTATATGGCAAACCAATGGCCTTCTTTCAGCTCTGCCAGGCTGCAGAAGTTGCCATTAGATATGGGACACCATACTGGAGACTCTGTCTGCTCCCCTTCCTTTGCAAGACCAAAGATGGATTCCTTGGTTCATCCAAACACTGATGAGGAACTACTGACTTCTGGCTTACCAGCAGTGTTTGTCAGGCAGGGCAAGCAGGCAGGCACTGCCCCTGTCCCCAGGGGTAGGATTTGGAGCCAATGGTCTCTGGGAACCGAGAGTCAAGGGGGTTGTGTACACGCTTGAGAACTCAATTCCCAGGGCCATGATTAACTTGAGGCTTGTAACTGTGGAAACAGTATTAAAGTCTCAGATGGAAACGGTAAATGGGAAGTAAAATGGGAACTCATGATGAAAAATCACTCAAAAAGGCAACTTTCCAAGAATATGAAAAGCTGTGCATTTGGAAACAGAAATTTAGACTATCCAACTAAAGTGAAGAAATGAATTGTAGTAATTAGCTGAAATTGAAATCATCTGGTTCATTGCATCAAAACATTGAATAATTTGCCTCAGTTCTCTGCTTGCCTGTGAAAAGCTGGATTGATTCCACAGAGCATGCACAGATTTCTGACTATTCCCCATAAAACACGGCACTAACAGATATACTCATGTGTGTTATTTGAGGGTCTAATATGTGCCAGACTTTATATATGAGTGCAGTTTGAGAAAAAGAAAGGTTTCTAGACAAGATGAGAATGTTACTTCATACAAAATAAATGGATATGACTTCCTGCAGTTAGAGGATACATGCTGCCTCCTTCTTTCTGGATAAATGCTAGAAATGCACAGCTCTTCCTTGTTCTATTATATGAAATTGTAACAACGACAGAATATAAATTTCTTGGCAATAACAAAGTCACAGCTTTAAAGGTACCATACAATTGTGCAAGATATATTTTAGTCTGAATTCTTTTTTTTTCTTTCCTTTTTGTCTTTTTTCGTGACTGGTAATGGGATCGCAACCCTCGGTGTCACGCCCGCACCGCGCTCAGCCAGTGAGCAGACCGGTCTCTATATGGGATCTGAACCCTCTGCGGGAGCGCCACGGCGCTCCCAAGCGCCGCACTCAACCAAGTGCGCCACCGGGCCGGCCCTTAGTCTGAATTCTAAACCCAGTTTGGTCATTTCTATTATTTGATGTACAAATGACTTAAGATTTTAATTTCAAAGAAACCAAAAATTTTTTTCCAAATGCAAATGTTAAGCCACTTTACAGTATAAATAATGCAAATGGAATTACTATTACAAGAAAAGCTGAGTATTTTTATTGATATCACAAATATATAAACATACAGAAAAAAGTGAACATAATAAAAAATACACAGATTTCAAACTCTATGTTTAAATTTATTGGGCCTCTGCCTTGTTAAGAGGTTCCTGAGTCAATTCCCCACTATTGATCCCACTCACAAAGGAAATCCACTTTGTAACAAGACTTTTTTTCTTTAGTCACCGACTGTCCACTAATGTGGTTGAAGCCTACGGGCCTTAGATATAAATCAGACTGATGAGATTGATTAAAAGCACTTGGCTTTAAGGCATCAGCATTATGTTTGAATTGTAAGCATAGGATTGGCTTTTAGATATTTATTTTTATAGGACGGTTGCCTGGGAGCGGGGCAGTTGGTCCCCTCCTGATGTTATTGTGCAGCCTGGTCTATCAATTGGTCAAACCCAGTAAGAGTAAGGACCACACCCAATAGTCCAATTAAAGGGAGAAGGCCAAATAGACAGCTTTCTTCCTAGGAGATGTCTTCAAAGTCCCTGAGAGATGTGCTGTCTCAATTCCCTATTGCCACTAAAGGACCCAGCTTCCTTAAGAACCAAAGCCTGTCAGGATGAATCTACCCACTTCTTTCTAACTCTGTGTCCTCATTGCTACCTGGAAGCTCTAACTCCAGTAGTGGCCTAGGGGTTGAACTGGCAAGTTATTTCCAAGAATAAAAGCAGAATTTCTCTATTTATGCCTCTGAACTGAGTAGAAAACCCTGACCTGTCAGAGGCATTTTATTCTGTCACCCAGTCCCTCTTATAACTCTCTGCCTTTGTCCTCTGCTATTACTTACATGCTAATGATTTTTATTTCCATATTTCACGTTCCCACCTTTCTCAGAGTCTTATAGCTGCTTCCCTCTACCTGGATGTTCCACTTCTAATTCACACTACATATTACCCAGACTGGACTTACCTTTCTCCCTCTCCCCATACACACTGAATTTGCTTCTGTTTCTGTATTTCATAGAATGAGATGAAGTACCATGTTTGGGAATCATCTGGACCTCTTTTTCTTGATCTTTCACTCCACCATCATGACATCCAATTAGTAGTCAAGTTCTATCTATTCTACCTTCTAAATGTCTCTTGAATGTTGAGCTCATCTTCTCTTCATCTGTAGTTCAGACCACCATCATGGCCATCGGGACTATGGGAATAGAATCCTAATGGGTTGCCTGTCTTCCATGATCACTAATTCATTCTCCATACGGACACCGTAATGCAAAACACTTCCGCAATCAAGTCGCTATTCTGCTCAGAATACTTTGAGGAAATACCATCTTCTAATGAACGGTCTGAACTCCTTGATTCACTGGAATTGCCCTGTCCTTCCAGGCTTACCTCCCACGTCTCTCCCCCATGCACATCAGACTCCAGCACACCGAAGGATTATTAAACATGCCATGCCTTTTTCACATTGTCAGTGCAAATGTGTATCACTGACTAGGCACGCTTCCTTCCGCTTGAAGACTAAGCTCAAAGAGCATTCTGCCAGCCTTCCCTGACCTCTCCTACCTGTTCCTTTGCTTGTACTTCTCAGTTGTCCACCAGTACTGTGCTGAACTTTGTTACATTTTTGTTTAAATGTTTATAATAAAAACATCATGCTTTTTACAAAAAAAAGGCACAGAAAGATATATAGTAAAAGGTGAAAATATGCTTGTCCCTCTTAACTCTTCATTCCAATCCCCAGAAATAACACTGCTGACCATTTCTTGTGAATCCTTCCAAATATTTTCTATGCACATATTGTACAAAAATAATGTGTATATATTATACATCATATGTTATTATTAAATACAAATAGTATTAAACTACACACATTACACATTTGTTTTTTAAAATTTAGTAATATATCTGGTATATATTTTGATATTTATAATATATACCATTGTCAAATATCATGCTTTGATCCTTATCTAATAATTTCTTATTTTTAACAGGTTAGCTTATTTCATCCACTCTTGTTATTTTGACAGATCTAGATGTGTTTTATTACTTTAAGTTACTCATATTTTTGTTTTTATTTATACTTCCTCAATTTTCTGTCTTTTGCTATATGGTCTGTTTTTGTATTTGTAATTTTACATTTTTTTCTTCCAGTGTCTCTATTTATAACATTAAATAATACGTGCAAATATATTTAGACCTTTATTTCTTGATTTATAAAATTTAGAAAGTATTGATTAACTTCTGCGATGATCATCTCCCAGCTTTTGTATTTATATTATTATTTCTATATTGTTATGTTTTCATGATATTTACATTATATTTTGTGTAATAGAGACTTCTCACAATTCTCAACATTTAATGTAAATGAAAGTAAAGTGGCATTTTCAGTCTCAGGCAGGTCAGAATGAGAGTGACTTCACTCTCTCTTTCTTTCTTCCCTCTGTCTATAAGTTGGATGGGTCCAGGGTAACCCTAGAACTGCATTGAAAATGGTGGAGCCACATGAAGGAAGATACTGAACCCCCAAATCACTGAATGAAGAGGCCTTGGTCCAACAACCCTCATTAAACAATGACAGGAGTGAAAAATAAACTTTTATTATATTAAGCCACTAAAATATGGGGTTTTGTTAGCATTATTTACATTGATGAACATATTATGTAACTATAATTTCTACAGTTCCATAGTATCAGTTATATATTCAAATGAATTTAATGCTCATAATCAGTCTTTTTTTTTTAGAAGGATATCACCATTTCTGAATTCTTTTTTGATGTATGTCTTACTTACTTGGATAGCTTCTTTCAAGTAAAGCTCATGAGTGCTATATTTCCTGAGGCATAATATGTTTGAGAATGTATTTATGGTGCCTTTAACAATAAGTAACAGCTTGGCTAGATATTATATTTTTGATTCAATCTTTATTTTTATTTTTTGCCTTTGAACTCTGATGCTATTATTCCAATGCCTTCTGGCATTGAAATTTGCTGTGAAAAATACCCTGGCCTGAGGGTAGCCTGTCTTGTAGATAACTTGCTTTTACTTCCTGCAATCTCATAGGAGTCTTTATCTTCAAAGTTAAAAAACTTCACCAGACTATTTCCTTGAGTTGACAGTTCCTGCAATGTGGTATGCCCTTGAAGTTTACAGATTGCAGATTCTATTTCAAAATTTTTTTCTCCTATTATGCATTTTAATAATTTTTTATTCAAAATATTTTGTCTTATCTTCAAGGATACCAATTATGCAATTAAAAATCTTTGTCTTTCTCTCTAACCACATTATTTTATGTACTTATTTTCTGTAACCACTTGTTTGTCTTTATTGAATTGAAATTTTCTTGGGCCTGATCTCTATGTTCTTATATGTGTTTGGCAGAACTATCTATTTTTGTTTCTAATGCAGTTTTGATTTCTTTCATGTGTTTTTATTATTGTCTTCGTTTATCTTATGAGTTCTGTCAGTTTACTCTTTGTGATAGCACTAGACGAGGTAAGAACTCTCTTAATTGTTTCAGACAGGAAGTGACACAAAACTTCTGTTTTCAGTTTCGTAGTCTTTTGCATCTGTTGCTATATCTATTTTTTTTCCCCAATGAATTCAGCTTCTCTTTCTCTCTTAAAATCCTCCAATGACTTCTATCATATTTAAAGTTAAATTCAATTATGGGGCCTACAAAGCCCTACTTTACCTGGCTCCTGGTAGCTCTGAACCTCATCTCATATCCCCCTTCGAGCCACTCTGTTCTTTTTCCAGTTTCTCCAACTAGCAATGTTCATTTCTACCGTATGGCTTTGACATTCGCCTACCTGCTGTCCGGAGAGCACTCAACATAACTATATGGTGGCTCCTTCTGGTCTTTCAGTTCTCAGTTTAAATGTCACCATCTCAGAGAGGCCTTCCCAACCCGGCCACCCCCTGTCATATCACCCTGTTTTATTTTCCCTAAAGCATTTATCACTATTCAACATTTTCTTGCTTACTTATGTGCTTGATGCATATCTCTCTTTCCTAATATATGGGCTCCATTGGTGTGGGACCTTGTCAGTCTGTTTCTCTGCTATCTCCATAAGACCTGAAATAGTGCCTGGC